GATAAAGCATTTGCACATGTCCTTTTCTACTGTTGTTTTTATATTGTGTTCGGGCAAAATGTGTCCTGAGTTTTTATATGCTTCTAGTATTTGTTTTCCAAGAAGTTTAACTCGATTTGTATAAGTAACGACGTCTTCTTCGTTTTTCTGATAAATGCATCCTAACTCTCCTTGCAATTGGTAAATGTTTTTAGTGGGTCCGTAAATTTGTTTTAAATATGAGGTTAAATTAGATACCTTGTCAAAATCTTGGTCTCGTATAGTTCGACGCGCTTCCCCTACGATTCTAGTTCTTAAAATTTTTGTAAATTGGGCCTCTGCTTCTTTAGAAAGCATTGATTTTGCTTCCTCGCAACCCTCAATAAAATAATTTAACGGAATATTACTACCGTCAAAGAAGGGGACGGCTTCAACCGTATATTTCAAAGTTGCAAAAAGGTTAGCATTGGCCATGTTTCCCGATTCTAATTCTTCAGAGTAGTGATTAGACTCAATTTTAATTCTAGAGATTTCTTTATGTACGGTAGAATCGGTGTCGGCGGAATCGTCGGAATCCAACACGAGTGGCTGGGTTATTAAAGCGGTATCCGTTAAGTTGGTCTCGAGGTTTTCGAAAGAGAAGTTGCCTTGTCGGGGTGTGGATCCAGAGGGTCCAGCGGGTGTTGACGTGTATAAAGTGTTTTGTTTATATTTGCGTGTATCTTGTATCTCTAAAGCGGTTTTGTAAAGATCTTCTACGTTACTTTTATCTGTTTTACTTCTAGTCCCTTTACTCATTCCTACCACTGAAAATCGCACATTACTATCCCGGCTGAGCCCCCAAATTTTCGTATGTTACGTCCCGACTCAATAAGAAGGAAGAGTCGAAGGAAGAACGTGACTATACTGATATCGAACGACACTAGACGGTGCGTCTGTTCGACTCGAGCGAACGTACGAAGGGCCCCGCAATAGGTCAGCGACCGCAAGGGTGACTCTTACTCTATTTAAAGGGCAGTTCGCTCGGTGGTCCCTTTTCAGCAAGAGAATTAAATCTCTTTTGCGTGGGATGGGACCCTGTGCGACTTCCAGGATGGAAAGGAATGAGAGTGGTTGTTTTTTTTGTGTTTAAATAATTAAGTCCAGATTCATCCCAAAAATCTAGTTTAATATAATTATTTTTAATAAAATTAGAAAAGAAGAAAAGGTATTTACATATCTAATACTTAAATTACACGAAAACCTTATGTGCACGATGTGAGTGTGTGTGTATATCTCGCGGGTGTTACATAAGTGCGGAGGTCATCAATCGGGATTATAACGGACAGGGTGTGTGAGAATATATATATGACCGCTTGTATCTCCGGAACGGCTTGACCGATTTTATTTTTTCTTGGCTTAAATTACTCGTGGCGATGCCGCCTTTCAGGTTATGTTACGTGCAATTCAAAATTTTCTATATTTTAGTAGTTCTACACCCCCAAAAAATGGACTTTGATGGTGCAGGATAAGGAGACTTGTAGTGTCTTTTAAGGTCTTTTAGGGTTTGAACATGGCCGGAGACACTACCGCGTCTCCTGATATATTTATTTTAATATTAATACCCCGAAAAATTAATTAAACGGAACTGTATCTCAATTTGAGATCCCAAAGTTCCACATATAATTAATTTCGAAACTTACATATGGAGAAATAAGCGAGAAAAATATAGGTCCGAAAAGTCGCTGAAGCGGGAATCGAACCCGCGTCTTTCACTTTCCGGGCGACTGCTCTTGGTAAGAGCAGTCGCCCGGAAAGTGAAAGACGCGGGTTCGATTCCCGCTTCAGCGACTTTTCGGACCTATATTTTTCTCGCTTATTTCTCCATATGTAAGTTTCGAAATTAATTTATATGTGGAACTTTGGGATCTCAAATTAAGATACAGTTCCGTTTAATTAATTTTTCGTTTCGTTTCCTTGGCTCTATTGCCCAGCTTAGAAGACAGCATACTTATATTATTTATATTGAGAGCCGATAAAAATATTTATTTCTGAATTAATACCCCGATTGGACATTACAATTTAGCAATAAGGTTAATTTTAAGAGTAGGCGTGTATAGGTATGTGTGAAAGGTCATTGGATTTCTTCGAGTTGGACAGTAGAGGGGGGATAAAGTTTTTTAAATAGGAGTTGGACGGGGACGAGCAGAGGATATTCCGACTCGGAAAGATACCAATATACGAATTCGTCGGGATGTGCAGTTGTTAAGAATTGCGCCAGAGCCTTTAGATCCACGAGGTCGGGACCGATCGTAAATCCATCCTCAGGTACTTCACGTACCCTGGGGATCTGATCAATTAACCAGGCTCGGAGTTGGTCTAAAGTTAACCTGGGCTCTTCCTCGGTGAGATCGATCGTTTCGATCTCTTCGGTAGGTTCCGAGTCTTCGGAGGATGACGGGGAAGAGACAGGGGATTCCTCGAAGATGATTGTCGAAGGAGCAGGGGATGGAGATCTAGGAAAATCGGGGAGCTTAGGGGAGGAAGGGGAAGGAATTTGGGAAAGTTCCGAGGATGTGGGAATGGGAGACGTGTGTGGTGTGTGGGTGTCGAACGAATTAATATTATTGATAATAATAGTAGGGTCTTCTACACCCCGACCCGCTCTTTGTTTCAGCCGCCGATTCCGCCGATTCCTCGACGACCTGAACGCGGTCCGCGATATTCGGTTTTGAGGTCCGTCCACTACGAGATCGGGTGGTTTAAATTGGATTAAAAGAAAGAAAGGGTTCTGTTACAAATCGCGGGAGCTATATATATATGTATATACATACATACATACATATACAATGTGTATATTTTTATATTCGCTTTTCTTTTATTTCCTAATTTACTAGCGGGAGAAATCACGAAGTCGTCCGCTGTTGCGGAGAATCCTGAGTGATTTTGGAAGAACAGGATAGAAATCACGAATCGTCCGCTGTTGCGGAGAATCCGGAGTGATTTCTGGAATAGAGGGTAGAAATCACGAAGTCGTCCGCTGTTGCGGAGAATTCGGAGTGATTTCGGAAGAAGCGGATAGAAATCACGAAGTCGTCCGCTGTTGCGGAGAATCCGGAGTGATTTCGGAAGAACAGGATAGAAATCACGAAGTCGTCCGCTGTTGCGGAGAATCCGGAGTGATTTCTGGGAGAAAGGTAGGAGAAGGACCAAAGGGTGTGAGGTAAATAATTGGGTTACCGAATTCAACGGCGAACCCAAAGACTCTAGTTTTTATGATTTGATTAAACTCCCGGAAATTGTACGAAGTATCGGTGTGAATGTGTTAGGTAGACTTACTACTTATCAAGAAGAACCTTGGTCAGCTGGAGGTGGCTCGGTGGTTGACGACGGCTGGGATTTCGTTTTGCGAAATTAATACTAACAGAATTAATAATTCTTTCGGTTGAACACTCAAATAAACTAATTGAAGTTTGCGAACGGGATGAGACTGACTGAATGAGAATGAATAAGAATTGAGAGAAAAAGCCTGTGTGTCTCGCTCGCACGGTGTTACTCGTATATAAACCTCCTTGCTCCTCTTTCTCCATTAGTTGTTAATATCCCCGGCGAATAAGGAAATTTTCAATGACGCTTTGGAGGCGTCCTTTGGTTTTGAAAATTAATATGATTGGTTCGGGCTTTGTTTAGAGTCCTGGGTTTCGACCAATGGAGAATTTGTTCTTATAGAGGGAGGTTGATATTTTATTGCTCCTCTAGTTGTGACTCAAGCAGATATCGCGTCCGGTGATCTGTCAGGCAAGGATTGTTTAGGTTCTCGGAAAGTTTTATTGATTCTCAAGGGTTCTATTGAAAGGAATAGGCACCAAAAATTGTTTTCCCTCGCCTGTCACATCGTGCCTTATCTGCGGGTCTGCGATATTTTGAATATCATTTTACACTCTCCGAAAGGAAAGAGATTCGTAGATTTCACGATTTATTACGTTTACTTTGCTTTTCGGTTCGTTCTCTATCCGCCTTTGATGTTCAAGATATCGCTTTGCGTTCTTCGAAAGAAAAGAATCGTGAAGACCGCAGGACGTAACAGTACCATTGCTACACATATTTGTCAGCGACGGTAAACGTGTCTTTTGACAGTGACCGCGTAACAAAATCTCAGATTGATAATAACTAATATTACTAATATCGAAAAAGGTTATGTAATCTATGTTTAATCTTAATCAACTATTGCCACGCATATTCGTTAGCGACAGTGATAATTGCTGCTACACTTTTCAGCAGTAGCAGTGATCAAAATGCGAATTGAATTTAAAGAACTAATGTAATTATAAAATTTGGCCATAATCAGCCGTTGTTACACTCATCGTCAGCGACAATCTGATTAAGCTCAAATTACATATATTCGATCGGAAAAATGAGTAACCATAAAGTTCAATCATAATAGACTGTTGCTACTCTCTTTGTTAGCGACAATCTGGTTGAACTTCAAGTCACATTCAATTATCCGAACGTTAGGGTTGATAGTAATAAAATCTATTCTATTTTCAAAAGATCTTTAAGCAGCTCTTTTGGCAAATCTCACCGCTGCCACCAAAATTTTGAAATGTCACGTCCGAGTGACCTTCTTTCCTCCTTTATTGCTTTAGGTCTAAGAAAAAAGGGTTAGCTCTCTATTTATTTAGGGCAATCTGCATGCACCGACTATATATGGCGCTCAGGCCACGTGCGCGTTCTCGCGGACACGCCTTTTGAGTCTCGTGTTACTCTGGGGCGCGATTTGTAACGCTGAGGATTAGGACAGCAATAGTTCCACCCACTTTATTAACTCTAACAATAAGTTTATTGCAAAAATACAAAATCTGGCCACGACTAACTTAATATCACACACGAGGCGTAATCTCTCGTATACTAGGGCGGAATAATGACTAGGAAGAAGGTTGAGTCGAAGCGACCTGCGTGAGCGTCGATGTCGACCGCTGTCGTCATCTGCGTATTTCCCCATCTAGGGAATTGGACAAGTGAGCCGCCACAGTACTCCCCCTCTAGTGATTCGCAGTTCGAGTCGCGAATTGGATTCTCCGCTCGGATCGTCCATCTCTTTGGCTGGGTAATGCGTCCGATGTTCCTGGCTGCTGATGATCTCCGCCCTCTGGAGGTGGTAGTTCCTTTCTCTCACTCTCGGTGAAAGCTGATTTCAGCCTATCGGTGTTTATTTCCTCCGGTCGTTTTTTATAGTCGATTCTGTAAAGAAAATCAGAGGTTCTTTCGATTATGCGAAATGGCCCTTCGTAGGGCAACTCCTCTGGGGTGGTCCACACGAACGAACACGTGCGTGGCGTCCTCCAGGTCCTTGTGGATGAATGTCTTGATCTTGGCGTGATAAGCTCTCGTGGGTCTTCGTACTTGGCGTATCCGTTCCCTCAACTTTTCCACAAAAATTTGCGGGTATTCGATCGGATCTTCGTAGGTGAAGTATTCTCCGGACAGTTTTAAAGTGTTGCCATAAACTAGCTCCGCCGCTGAGGTTTGGATGTCCTCCTTATAACTGGCACGAAGGCCCAATAGAACCATTAGTAGGGTATCAACCCAATTCTGCGTCTCATGGCACTTTATCGCTGATTTAAGTGAACGGTGCCATCTCTCGATCATCCCATTCGATTGCGGATGGTAGGCGGTGGTTCTAATCCTCCTGCTTCCAATTAATTTGACTAGGGCGTCGAATAGCGCTGACTCAAACTGCGCTCCTCTGTCGGTGGTGATTGTTGTTGGTGATCCATATCGCGAGATCCATGTATTAAAGAACGCGTCGACCACTGTATCCGCTGTACAATCTGCGATTGGCGTTGTTTCTGGCCATCTTGTAGTTCTATCAATCATGGTTAAGCAGTATCGGAACCCTCTTGAAGGAGGAAGGGTTCCACTATATCTATGTGTATATGCGAGAATCGATCATTAGGTATTGGTATATACTCAGGGTTACGTACATTATGCCTGTGGATCTTAGCTCTCTGGCAGGCTAGGCATGTCTTTGCCCATCGTGCGATGTCCTTCCTTATGCTAGGCCACACGAATTTCTGCGCGATCAACCTCCTCGTGGTACAACCACTCGGGTGTGAAGCTCTGTGCGTGACGTTGAATATCCTTCTCCGTAACGATGTCGGAATGTATATTCTAATTTTGTCTGTGACGTCGCAGTAGATGGTCTTGTCTCCATCGTCCAAACAAAGTTTCTTCAAAGTGAGCGCTGTGTTAGACTCGAGTAGCGTCTTTAGCTCTTCATTCTTCCGTTGCTCTTCGTATAATTCGTCCGTTGTTACTACTGTCGGCATGTCAATGGCTTCTACGCGTGACAACGTATCTGCTACCGTGTTCTCCTTCCCAGCGATGTACACAATCTTCGTGGTGATCTCGCTAATGAAGCTCAGTTGCCTCCTCTGTCTCTCGGATGCCTTGTCTAACGGTTTCTGGAATGCGTATTGTAACGGTTTGTGATCCGTTATGATTGTCACCTCGCGTTCTTCCACCATGTGTCTGAAAAATTTCAGTGATGAATATATGGCTAGAAGTTCGCGATCGTACGTACTGTACTTTTGCTGCGTTTCGGACAATTTCTTGGAGAAGAAACCTAACGGTCTCCACGTTTTGTCTTGAATTTGTTCGAGGACCGCTCTCATTGCCTTGCTGGAAGCGTCCGTTTTAATTGCTAGCTTAGCGTTCTCGAAAAGGTGTGCCAGTAGTGTCGTCTCTGCCAATCGCTTTTTATTCTCATAGAAGGCCTCTTCCGTCTCTGCTGACCAGTCGATGGCCTGTTTGTCTCTTTTTTTCTTACCAATCAGGTATCGGTTGAGCGGCGCTAGAACTTCCGCTGCATTTTTAATGAACCTATGATAATAGTTTATCATGCCCAAGTATCTTCGTAACTCGGCAGTATCGGTTTTTTGTATTCAGTAATTGCGGTCACTCTCTTCTCCAGAGGTTGTATGCCGTCTTTGGTTACTTTGTATCCTAGGTATTCAATATCTTCTTCCGCGAAATTGCACTTTGCTACGTTGATCGATAAGCCGAACTTCTTCAAGCGTCTGAATATCTCTTCCAGGTGCTGTTTGTGCTCTTCTTCGTCCTTGGATGCTACCAAAACGTCGTCTATCTATGTGTGGCAATATTCCAAACCACGTAACGCTGTATCGATGAATCGTTGAAACGCTTGCGCGGCGTTGCGCAAGCCAAATGGCATTTGATTGAACTCGAACAGCCTAAATGGAGTTGTTACCGCAGTCTTATGCTTATCCTCATCGGCCACTGGTATCTGGAAATACGCTTTAATAAGATCGATTTTGCTGAATATTTTACATCCTGCCAAATGGTACGTGAAGTCTTGGATGTGCGGAAGCGGATACTTGTCCGGGACCGTTACACTATTCAGTCTGCGGAAATCCCCGCACGGTCTCCAACTACCATCTTCCTTTTTGACTAGTAGCGGGCTGACTCATTGTGAAGAAGATGGTTGGCAGATCCCCTGCTCCACCATCATCTCGAATTCCTTCTTCGCTGCTGCATATTTCTCCGGCGCAAGCCTGCGCGTTTGCTCTGCTAGCAAAGGGCCGCTAGTTATGACGTGGTGTTTCACCTCATGCGTTGCATTTGACAATGCCATAGGGCGCGTAATCTCGATGTACTTTCTTAGTAAATCTTTTATTTTACAGCTGCTACTTACAGTTAATACGGAAAGCTGTGCGGCGTGACTAGGGCGTGTGCTGGTAAACAAGGTCGTGTGCTGGTCGACCAGTCGGCGATTCTTCAGATCCGGCAAAAGTCCATAATGCGCCAGAAAATCGGCTCCAATTATTGGTTGTCTCACGTTGACTATCACGAAATTTCAGCAAAAAGGTCGTCGTAGGCCGAGATCCAATACCAATGTTCTGCTGCCGTATGTAGATATTTCAGTATTGTTGGCTGCAAATAACCTTAAATCAGTAGGTCGGAGCGTACCACGAATTAGGTTTCGCGGTATCGCGGAAACGTCCGCTCCGGTATCGATCAGGTAAGTAGTACCGTCTGTTCTATCGCGAATTTTCAGGCGTGCGCTCCCCGGGTTCCCGCCGACGACCGCCTGGCATTGTGGCGGTGGGCTTAGTTTTCCGACTTCTTTTCACGCGCATAGGCTTTCGCACTTATAGGCTTTGGCTCCAAATCTGCAGTGATAAAAACAAAATTTGTTATCTTCCTTGCCGCGAGATTTGCTCCTTAATCGGTCTCTATATCCGCTGCGTCCTCGTGATCTGCTACGCGACCGGCTTCCGATCCGCTTGTTTAATGCTGCCATCTGTTTGGTTAGAGTGGCGATCTCGGTGGCCATCTTGCTGAGCACTCCTGTCTCAGCGGTGACTAGCTGGACGGCCAACATGGCGGGTTTTGCCATGTCTAGTATTTTGTCAGCTTGGTTGGCTAACCTGCTCAAGTCGCGTACTTCGGATATGGATAAAATGGCGCGAACATTTTCGGGGAGTTGCTCGAGAAATATTGTGCGCAGGACCCCGTCGGTCACCTGCCCTTCCGCGAGATTACGCATTTTCTGTAGGAGGATAGACGGTTTGTCGTCTCCCAACTCATGCGCGGTTAGTAATTTCCGCAATCGCGAAGCGCTGGTCTCGCCCAATACGGTGGTAAGACGTTCTTTAATTGCCGCGTACCGATTTACTTCCGGTGGAGACGTCACGATATCTGCGACCAAAGGAAGAATAGCCGGGTCTAAATGTAATATTACGTAGCGAAACCTGGTTTCGCTTGTAATCCGATGAATGGCAAAGCCTGGTGTTCCGTGTCGAGCGGGCCTTGTAAGTCCTCTGTCTCCGGCACGTTAGAAATGTCGTTCGGCCTGTCTGGCGTACGGTCCATTGGCATCCTTTTGGATGTCACTCTGTCCACTAAAAGTCACTTCGCAAAGAAAATGTTACCGGTGATCACGTCGGGGTCACCACTTATGGCGCTCAGGCCACGTGCGCGTTTTCGCCGACACGCCTTTTGAATCTCGTGTTACTCTGGGGCGCGATTTGTAACGCTGAGGATTAGGACAGCAATAGTTCCACCCACTTTATTAACTCTAACAATAAGTTTATTGCAAAAATACAAAATCTGGCCGCGACTAACTTAATATCACACACGAGGCGTAATCTCTCGTATACTAGGGCGGAATAATGACTAGGAAGAAGGTTGAGTCGAAGCGACCTGCGTGAGCGTCGATGTCGACCGCTGTCGCCATCTGCGTATTTCCCCATCAAGGGAATTGGACAAGTGGGCCGCCACATATACCCCGGGTGCGCCAAGAGCTGGAACTGACTTTTCGGATTTGGGGAATTTTAGGAATAGGGAATGTTTCATAGAAATGTATAATATCGTCTAAAAAAATTAATATTAGTTCAAAATCGTATTTTTTATTTAGGCTATAAGATATGAAATTAAAATATATTATTAATAAAATAAAGTAATAGTCTATTATCAAGGATTTGAACATTTAGAATAATCGGCAAATAATCGCGAGTTGAGATTATTAAAGATTTAGATACGTCGGATAGTCGTCAATTTCAGAGGGAGGTTCTAGCGGTCCTGAGCTTATTAATTCTGGTAAAGAGACAGCAGGAAAATTATATTCCTCAAAAGATGAAAAATCTTGATAAGAATTCTTAGACGATTCTATTAATTCGTTGATTATATTATCAATCTCTTCAAGAGGGATTGGTGATAAAGGTTCTATTTTATGTTGAAAATTGTCAATTGATCCGGAACCTTGAGATAAGTCAGGAGAGATCACCTCTTGAGACTCAGGTAATTGTTTATCTCCGGATAATTTCTCTTGAGGATTTGAGAAAGTAGTCGCGATTGATCTATATTTCCTAATTATTGAAGGGCGTGTACGCTTCTTCTTACGTACAAGGTTGCGTTTTCGGCTGTCCATTTACAAGGATATGTTCATCCTTATAATATTAATTAATTAGTTATTAGGAGATTATAAAATTAGATTGAGGATTAAAAAGGATTAGTTCTTACTTGATTTCGCACGGAGATGAAGATCTGCTCTGTTGTTTCTGGTGACTATGCCTGGGCTGTAGTTCTCCTGGGGACCTCGGTCTCAGGATGGAGTTGAAAGAGCAGACGTGCACTGATTTTATATTAATTTTAATTCTTTATTTCTTTATTTATGAACAATTTCTAAGTCTGTGACTTATAATCGTACAATTTGGAGTTTACAAATTTAAACTATCAGATGAGTTAACTAGAATAATAACTAACATAAAAATTCGCAGAAAAATCTAAGTACTAATTGACACGAAAACTAGATTAACCGTAATCGGCTAAGTGTAGAATTTAGAATTTAGAAAATAGTAATACGAAATGCTCTATTCTAGAAGTTGACAAGAAGTGCTCGCAGGACGCCAAATCCGCGGTTTATATACTCTTTGAAGGACCAGGCGTGCTTAGATTTTGACATATGGTTCCGTAGGAATTCGGTTTGCGTCATCAAAAAGGGGGCGAAGGGTGGTCCATCAGCTAAGATGATTCGTTGGCGCAGTATAATTACGATTCTTAATAGACGAATGGGAATTTTTACATTAGTTTCCGAATTGCTTATTTATAAAACGTTAATATTTATCATTATAATTTATACTAAAGGGTTAAATTGCGTGCCCTAGAAGCCATTACAAAAATGTGGAGATTGTAATTCCTTGAATATTCATTATATTAATAATTGAGAGGTTTTTATTGTTAAAATAAAAGACGTGCAACGTTATTCTGTAAAGGATTCAAGGATTAGCTTTTGATAGTTTGAGTTGTAGCTTATAATGATAAAGATAATATTTCGCTTCCTAAATCTTTGGTTC